GGAAGTGACTTTTTGAAATGCAGCTCATTAGAGCTAGGAGTGGCACACGTCGCATCTGTTCTGTGGGTCAGAGGACACCGGGCAGGAAACAGAAAAGAAGCTGCGGAACCAGGTCACCTGCGGAAGACGCAGCTGGTGCGCCACCAGTTTGCGTGTGCGTTTTAGTCCTCATTTACGACACGTAACTGACAGTGCTAAGCACTTCACGGAAACGTCTGGTCTTCTGAGACAGGCTCAAGGGCCGGATACGTGTTACTACGCAGAAGCAGTAATTTCTTTGTGTCAGAACTCACATGGAGTGTAGTCAGTCTTGCGGGGGATCAGGCAGCCTCCTGAGTCGGGCGCCCTGTTCTTGTGCTGGCTCTCAGAAGAGGGAAACGCGGAGTGCGGTCTCCGGTCTCCGACACAGCGGGGCGCGGCCTGCGTTTACCCTGCTGTGTACGCAGAGGACAAATGAGACATTTCACAACATCTCGTCTGTAACACCTACATGTTAAAGAGGCTGCCAGTTTTGATAGTAAACTAACAGATTCTGTACGTTTTGTATGAAAATTCCTATGAAAGATTGTCTCCTGAATTTTTTTTTGCTTAAATTCTATTGATACCTTTTAGGTATACAGTACGTTTACATTTATCACTGGGTGTTTGTACCTGCACATGATGTATCTTGGTTATTTTTTCCCCCATTCCCTGTGCGCCCTTCACCCCCTCCACCCTTCCCTATTTACACAGACTTTGTTTCCATTTTTTTCTTTTCTCATAATTTTCCCTTTCCCCTTCCCCTCCCACTTCCCCTTCCCCTTTGGACCTTTTCTTCCTATTTCAAATTATCAATTATTCGTTTTAATCATTTTAATCCTTAATTACACTCTCAGTTTCTCACACCAGAGAAACTATTCGGTATTTACACATGTGTGTCCTATTTATTTCCCTTAAGAGGATGGCCTCAATGTGCATCCATTTAGCTATAAATGTCTCTAGTTTCTCGTTCTTTATGGCTGAGTATTGCTCTATTTTATAGAAAAACCACATCTTCTTTATCCAGTCTCCAGTTGATGGGCACTTGGGCTGTTTCCAAGTTTTAGCTATTACAAACTGTGCCGCTATAAACATGGGTGCACATATATCACTGTGGTATGATTCTTTGTCTCCTGAAAATGGGAGCATTTTAGCCCATTGGGTAGTGGAGAAAGGCAGCATTCTCGGCTTGAATGTTCATATTTTCATGACGTTTTCGGCTACTGCTACACATGTATAGTGCAATCAAGACTGCTGTGTATGTGACAAGCAAACTGAGTCCTTCCTTGAAACATCCAGTCTTATTGAGATGTTTAGAAGTGCCCGGCGTATGTTAAACATAGAGGCGGTAAAACACCACTCTGTGCTATCTTTTTGCTGAAGTTTATATGAAGTGTTGTCTTTTGGGAAGGAACCATCGGGAGGCTCGTTGGTTTGCAGGCGGGAGGGAAGCGGCTGCCGATGTTGCCCATGCGCTTGCCCTGGGACACTTTGACATCTCTTCTGTGTCTTGTGGGACTGCTTGCCGTGCAATGTGTGATGGGCAAATGGCCGAGGCCTGAGGTGGTGGCCCGTGTAGGACAAAGCAGTGCACTCAGCAGCTGCGCAGTGTTGAACACAGAGAAGCCTTCCTCCATAACGCAGTCTGGATTCCACCGCCTCTGACATCACCAAGGCCTGCACTTGGGCACTGGGGTGAAGGCAGAGGGAAGGGAGTGAGGCTGAAATGCTCCAGTGTAGGAGATGCCTCAGATTCCAACCACTGCTGCGTCCGCAATTTTACTCATTGGTGCCGTGTGACAGCAGAAAGGTTCTTATACGAAACACCTAGGTCCAGATACGGAGAAGCGTTTGACACATTTAAAAGTAGAATAGAATAACGCTTTGTGAAGAGCTTTTATAAACTGACAGAATGGTCACACCATCTCTGCACAGAGAAAGTGCGAAGGTATGTATTGGATTCCAGACACGTTTCTTTAAAAGCAGTCACAGCGTGCACATCTGTGACCCCACAATGGAGGGACCTTCCCCACATTTCCAGGGACTCCTAGCAACAGGAGAAAAAGAGGCCCCCACCAAAGCAACCCAGCCAGAAACAGGCCAGGGAAACAGGCAGGACGCTGCTGGGGATGAGCGCTCCTCTGGCCGTCAGGAAGTGCAATAGAGGGCGGCAGGTGCAGGCACCCGGCCAGGCCCTGCTGCAGCGCCCAGGGCTGGGCCTGCACTGCCACAGCCACCCAGGGCGCACCCTCCAGTAACGCGTGAAATTCGGGCTCCTCACCCGCACGCCTCGGGGCTGACACCCAGCACTTTCCATGAATGTCACTTTTACAGGTAATGAAGTAAACCTTAGAGGTCTGGGAACCAGGAGCTTTATATTCAGCGGATTCGGCTGATTTTTATTCCACTGCAGCTCAAGCAGGGTAAACAACTCCAAAGTAGAGCTCGCCTCGGGGAGGGCCGGGGGCTGGGGCTCCGCTTGTCCTCCGGCCTCGTTTGCCCATGTCGCCCTATGACCCTGGGCTCTGCCGGCCCTGGGTTGTCGCTGGGTCACAGGTGCCCGCCCATCACGCATGTCACCATCTGGGAAGCCTGAGCGTCCACCTTCCTGGGCACAGGTCACAGGTGAGCTTTCTGTTTGTTCCTGCCAGTGCTCACTGCTGCACCGTTCCCCAGCCCTACGCACCGATTAACCAACGGGGTCTCGCTATGCCTGCCACTGAAACGCCGGGTGGGGGGCTCGGGGATGAACACGGGGCGTGCATGGGAGGCTCAGAATGGCGCTGTGAGGCCCCTGCTCACCGGCCAGGGCTGTCCCGCAGCCGAAACCGAAGTGAGCATCCTGGGCCAAAGCACAAAATCTAAGTTGTTTTTGGAAAACAGAGATGAATGCTTTATCGTTTTGAGTGAAAACCGCTGTCCAGAAACCTGACACTTTATTCCGCAACCCGGGTCCATGGTGCCGAGGACTCCCCAAGCGCCTGTGCCGACACTGCACCTCCGTGTGAAGGCCACTCATCCTCTGAGGCAGGAAGCAGGACAATGCTCTGCTCTTCCTTCCCACGCTCGAGCCATGGGCCAGGGGGAGAGGGTCTGCCAGGAAGGAAGCCCGGCCGGTCTCCTGCGGACCCTGCCCACCCTGGGCACCGTGGCTGGCACCAGCGTGGCAGGCGCAGCCATGTTGGGGGCCACTCCGCCGCCAGCATGGCCCCTGGGCCCCAGCAGTGGGGCATGGCCAAACGCCCATCTGCTGCATGGGCTCCGCCCTGCTGCGTCCCACTCCAGAGGGAGGCAGAGCCAGGACTCACTGCAAAGACGCTGCCCAACGCCCCAGCCCCAGACACGGCCGGCCCGGCCCCGCCTCACTCCCCTGTCCCTTCCCAAGGACAAGCGGAGGGCGATGCAGCTCTCCACACCTGAAACCTGCTTTTCTGGGCCACTGCCCTGGGAGTGGACAAGAGTGACAAACACTCCAGAGCCCGGGAGCTCCTGCCCTTGGAGTCCCCACCGACGCCCACAGCCACAGGGAGGCGATGCTTTAAGGCACCCAGTCTTGCGTCTCACAGGTCAAATCCATTTCACAAAGAAATCAGAATCAATCCGTAGAAGGTAATCCAAGTTAATTATTTAACAGAAATTTTTATTTCAATAAATACTTTTTCTTCCAAATAACAATTACAACTTTAGGGATAAAATCATAATCTAGAAGTGACTAGTGTGTTATTCCACTTTTCAGCATTGCCTGAGTGAAGAATATAGCTTGGGCTTGGAGAGTCTGACCAGAGACTGCACTGCAGTCCCAGAGAGAGAGAGCGGGAGAGACACGGACAGGGACATGGGAAGGGAGGGAGGGAGAGAGGCCAAAAGGACACACCAGTGAGTACACCCGTGACCCCGGGGACCAGGAGGCTGAGCGGGACGGTCCCACATTTGAGGCCAGCCTGGGCAACTCAGCAAGACCCTACCTCAAAATAAAAGTATTTCCAAAGGGCTGCAGTGTAGCTCAGTGTAGAGCGCTTGCTTGGCATGCACCAGGCCAAGATTCATCCCCAGGATGTAAAAACATAAGGGGGGACAGGGCCCCGGCCATAAGGGACGCAGCCCAGGCAATGCCCAGCTCAGGCACAGGGCCGGGCAGCGCCTGCTGCGCCTCACTCAGCAAATCCCACCAGAACCCCGCTCGGAGGCTGGGAGGCGCCAGCAGGATCACGGGACTGAGCGCCTGCCGGGACCTGGCTCCAGACGGCCCTCAGTGCAACCATGCCGGCGACACTTGGCACACAGCCCAGCGCCCACCCGTGACGGGTGCAGGGCACCGGCTCACTGGTCACCTCTGGGTGCCCTCCTGTATAACCACGGTAACGTGCAGAAGACGGGAGAAATGAAGCACAGGCGCAGGAAGGGGAGGTGTCAGGCGTGCCCGGACTTTAATGCTTAGCTCTGGAGACCATGCAGCCTCGGGGACGCGTTCACGGCCTAGCGGACGCCGTGCAGGGCACAGACAGCAACAGGCCCACTTCCTCCGCAGGGCGCAAGGCCCGCGGGCGGCCGCTCCCCTCCTGCTTGGTGCGCGACACACCGCCTCTCGGTACCTGACGCCACTAACAGTCACGTGGGCTCAGCTCTATTACTAACGTCTTCCACAGTTCAGATAGATTCAAGTAACACTCCCAAAACGTCATGTGCAAACGAACATACAGGGCTGCAGCACCTTCTGGCAGCTGGCCCACCACGCGGGCACCTCGCCACGCAGCGCGAGCCCTGGCAGTGTGGGGCACCCGCTCCCGAGGAGCACTGGGCACCCGCCGCGGGACCAGCGTGGAAGAACCCACAGGGTAACTGCGAACGACCACGTGACTGCCTTTAACTAGGGGGCCAGACCAAGTCCCCAGCCTCACTGGCCCCGGCCGAGCACGCAGCTGCTCCTAGAGGCGGGGCGGCCCACGGGCGGGCAGCCGGGAAGCACGCGCAGAGCAGACAGCTCCTGTACCGAAACTGTCTTTATTAAAGTGAACAGACTGCCGCAGGCCCCGAGGCGCCAGCGGATGGCCGCGCTGGCCAGCACCAGCTGCTAGTGCCACTCAGCGTCCTTGCAGCGCGGCAAAGCATCACCTCCATGTTTGTAAACGTTATTTTAGCAGAAGACAGACTTTGCCCACTTCAGTGCTTTTAGTGAACTGGTGTTTTCAGTAAACTTCTTCTGAGCAGCAAGGAACAAAGATGTTTTTCAGAAATCTTAGAACTGGATATAAACATTGGCAGTAGACACAATCAATAAATATCATACAATTTCGCAAATGAAAAAGATTTTCCGTAGGAACTCCTTTTATGAAGACATTCAAATGCCTGACCCGAGGGGCCTCCACCCGAGCCCCAGGCAACCACATGGCCCCGAGGCTCAGGCAATGTGCAAAGGGAGCGGGGAGGCCGGGTACAGTGCGGGTCAGGTCGGGTCGGATCGAGGTCCTGGAGAACTTCGAGGGGGAGACGCGCAGCTGGGCCCCCCGCTCAGGGCATCCTCGTCTGAGGCCTGGGGACCATGGGGACCACGGCGGCCATGCCTGCCCTCGGCTTCACTTGTTATCAGAGGCTTGGAAAAGGTCTGTGACCCCTCGTGCTTCGTACCCACGTGGAGGAAACAATAACACGACCTGCCATGTCCTCTGGACTCTGCCGCGCCGGGTCACTTACGAGGCTGAGTCTTCTTCGGCACCGCGGGCCGCTTGGGCTGCCACAGGTGGTTGTGGATGGTGAGCGCGTCCACACTGACAGACATGGTCTTGGCAGGGATGAGGTTAAACTGCTTCCGGTCCGAGCTGTACTTATAGAGCTTGTCGATCATCTTCTTGGTGATGCTCTTGGGCCCCGTGCCCGTGAGTTTGTAGATCTCCTCCGTGTCAGGGTAGTAGCAGTACAGCGCCCGGAACTGGCAGCCGGCGTCGCGGAACAGGATGATGTAGTGGTTGGCGTCACACTTCTCCAGCTCCTGGGTTGGGGGAGATGGGAAGCACTGAGTGTCACTGCGACTCCTGGGGTCCCATGCGCACTGCGCCAGGCAGGGGAGCAGCCAGTGAGCACCCGGGTACAGGAGCTCTTTTTGTTGACTACAGCTTCCTATTCCTGAAAATGACGGCTCTGCCTCCCAGGCGGCAAGGGTGCCACTGGGAGTGTGCCGCACAGAAGTCTGGGTGAGCAGGGGAAACGCGCTCAGTGTCTGCCCCACACGTCCCATGAGAAGACGACACCTGTATCGCTGGCCCTCGGAATAGAAAGGATGCGCTCACGAGGCAGGCCGAGGGTGGGGACTCCATGCTGGGAGGACACGAGTGCCCAGCCACTACTGAGAATCATGACCATCACCATGTGACCCACAAACACTGGGGGGACAACGACACAGAACCATGCAAAACCCTGCCTCACGGTGTCCACAGCAGACTGTCTACAATACGCCAAGAGCAGAAATAACCCACACACAGCTGCGGACGAAGGGGACCCGCAGCCACTGTGCCTGGGACGCTGCCCGGCCGGATGCCCCACAATACTCAGGAAGCTCAGAAACACTGCTCCGTGACAGATGCAGCCCGAAGGCCACACATCCTAGGGCTCCAGCGTGGACACACGGGACAGAGACGGCGCGCCCAGGGGTGGCTCCACTCGGAACATGCTTGCCCTCTGGCTTGTGCCTCAGAAGGGTGGCTCCATGGGGCAAACTGCTCCTCCATGGTTGTGACTGACACAAGGAGCCGTGGCAAACACGCCACCGGGTTCCTTTCGTCCCATGCCTACTTAGCAAAGGAAACGTGACGGGAGCCAGCCATACGCCCTGGCCTTGCATGGGCTGTGCTGTCTACACCCTGCAGGCGGGTGCAGGGGGGCAGGATCCCCACAGCCACATCAGCGCTCCAAGAAGCCATCATCCGTGTCCTGATTCCTCACGACCCGAGGCCCTCAGGCGGCCGGGCAGGGTCAGCGCACGGCCCTGACTGCTGAGGAAGGGGCCTCCTCATCCTTCGTCCAACTCCACCCCGGCCAGCACTCCATGCAGAGGCAGCAGGCAGCACAACAAAGATGACAGCAGCAGCCTGGGGCAGGTGGTGTCAGGACGCCTGCTGCATAGCAGCCCCTCCCTGGCCACCGGCCCAAAGCACGGCTCCCGGAACAGGGGTGGGCGCCCTCCTCCCCGGACACTTTACCACCCTGACCTGGCTCCCAGGACGCAGGCCTGCCCACCGCTGCCCCTCCCCTGGCCCCGTCCCGGTGTGGCGACCCCTTGAGCTCCCACCAGCCTGGCTCCCACTCTTCCTGAGCCCATCCCAACCCGAACCACAGGGCCTCGGCACCTCCCCTGGGACGCAGCCATCCATGCCCCGCCCCGCCGAGGCCCGGGCAGCAGCAGCAGGACACTTGCCTCCAGGACCGAGTGCTTGTGGGGCTCGTTCACCTTCCCCGCCAGGCAGCAGTGGGACACGGCGTTGTGGATGATTGGCTTGTTGGACTTGCTGCTGGGCTCCTTAAAGAGCTTGGGACCTGGGAACGAGGTTTGCAGGTGGACATTTGGAGGCAGGGACACACAGGAGAAAGATGGCGACAATACCTCAGGATCAAGACACAGGCACGTGCTCCGCTCCTCTGAGAGTGGGTGTGAAGGGCCACTGCAAAGCTACTCCCGAAAACTTCCGGTCGAAATTTTGAAAAATAATAAAAGACTACAGTATCTAATTTGACTTATCTACTTTCTAACTTCAGCTTCTTTTCTCTAAAAGGACAGACTAGGAAATGGCTTTTATTTGTTATTTTTGGTGGTGCTGGGGATGAACCAAGCTGTCACCACTGAGCTGCATCTCCAGTCCTCTCTGGACTAACGTTAAGACAGGCTTTGGCTAAGCTGCCCAGGCTGGCCTTGAACTTGTGTAATCCCCAAGTAGCGGGGATTACAGGCCCGGCCCACTGTACCCAACAGAAAAAATAATTGTGAAAAAGCCCAAGGTTCTTTCCCAGTACCACCAATACATAAATAAATGAAATGCCCAAAGCCTCAGGTGCCCCATGCCCGGAGGTGTGGCTCTCGCTGGGCGCCTGCAAGTGCAGGGCGCCGGCTGTGGCTGCAGCTCCACCGCGAGGGGGCGCTCGGTGCCACAGAACCGGCTCTGGGAGCCCTCACCTGTGTACTCCGCCACTGAGGCCAGGGAAGACGCTGCCGATGCCGTCTCCCAGTCTCGGTCAGTGCTCCTGCTTGGGTTGCGGCTCAGGATGGGCAGGGCCTCCAAGGACTCCACTCTGTGGGCACAAGGGGACGAAGGGTGAGTGAGGGTGGCACAGCTAGTCACGTTTCTTCCACCCTGGCTGCCCGGAGTGGGGGCGCGCTCGGCACACTCCTATACAGGCGCATGTGCATTTCCAGCCACGGGTGACAAGGGTTCGCCGTCAGCGCCCTATGCCTGCGGATGCTGCCACAGAGAGGGCTGAGACCAGGCACGAGTGGCCACCGTGGGCCCTGACTGAGAATCGAAGCCTCGTGCCGGGCGGGCAGGTCCAAGTCACCCCTTTAGGGACGGCCCACCCCGAGCGAGCACAGCCGGCCGAGGCCTCCTTACCGCTGAGAGGGTGTCCCCCCCGAGTGGATGCTCTCGGGTTCCGTCGTCGCCGCAGAGGCCAAGGACAGGCTGGAGCCGGAGTGTGTCCCGCTCAGGTTATCAGCTGCAGAGACAAGGGCCGGGATTTCAGCAGCCTGCCCTCGGCCCGCCCACCCGCTGCAGAGCCCTCAGGGATGGGGCAGGTGCAGCCCTACCACTGGTCTGTGGTCTGGGGGACGCTCCTCGCCCCTGGGCCCACCCTATGCTGTGGAAGGGTCCCTAAAGCCTCCTGCGTCCTGTGTGAGAATCTCCACCCAGTGAGGCAGGCAAGTGCGACAACGGAAGCACGAGTGAGACCGGGCCCCGTGGAGATGCTTACGGGTGGAGGAGCACTTGGTGCCCGAGTCGCTGCACGATTCCTCACGGTGCACAGACTTGGGCCTCGGCTTTCTGGGCTTTGACTTAGGTTTGCTGAGCCCCTGCTCCTCGAGGATCTGCTGCTGCTTCCTCCTCAGGTACTCCTGCTTGATGAGCTCTCGCCGTGCCTTCTCCTCCTCCTTGCGGATCCGATCTTCCTCAGCTTTACGTCTGTGAGCAGATCAGGTGCACAGCAGTGCCGAGTCAGTGGGTTTCTCTCAGACCGGCCTCCCGCAGCCCCAGTCAGCGCTGTCCCGGGTTACCCACTTTCTACCAGGGCCAGGGTGGGCTCAAGGGTGGCCCTGGATGGAACCATGAGTGCTCAAACAGCCTCGCCGTGCGCCACGGCCATGAACACTCACTTCCTGTGCTGCACCCCAGCAGCCCCAGGAGTAACGAGGGCAGGGACAAAGCACAGACAGCGCGCAGGGCCACTGAGAAAGCTGAAGCCCACCCCAGGGGAGGGAGGCTGCCGGGGGACAAGGCTACCGGGCCTCGTCACGCTTGAGCTCCACTTCCGCCTCCAGCTGCTGCTTCCGCACGCGCGCCTCCTCAGCCTTGCGCTGCTGCTTCAGCAGGAAGGCTGCCCGCTTCTTGGCAAGCTCATCTTCTGCTTTCTGTTCATCCTAGAAACAACACAGACATCACCTTGTAGATAGTGGTGGTGACAGTACAGGAAATGTCCTTGAACTCTCTAACCAGACTTTGGTATACACTTAGGAAATTCTAACGCCTGGTTTAAAACTTTACTCTGTGAGCTGAGTGAATATATCTTCATATGCTATGGAAGAAACAGAAAAGAAACCAACCACTTAAAGGCATGTGGCCAGACAACCTGCAAATGCAGCCTGCATTAAAACACGCATTCCAAACCACACGCCTACCCGCAGCGAGCACGGTGACCTTCCACAGGCGCGAACTCAAGGCCGCGCCAGAGCCAGCTAAGTCAGCAGGCCACCTGTAAGCCTCTGCACACAGGCTCTCCACACCGGCGGGGGGCAGCCTGGCCTCAGTGTCTCGGTAGAGCCTTCAGGCTCTGATGGTTTTCACATTTCTAAATGGCTGAAGACTCATCAAAAGGAAAAGCTTTGCCACATGGGAACATGCATACAATCAGACCCAGGCCCACGGGCAGGGTCCTGGGCCACCCTCACTAGCACTGGACGAGCGGCAATGGCCCTGGCACTGGGAGGCCTGCAACAGGCCCACTTCCGCCCTGGCTCTTCAGAGTCTGCACTGCACCGAAGTTCCCTTGAGGCCTAGCAGTCACGGGGAGGTGATGCCACCTTGGAGCCCTGTTCTTGACCCGCCCACGTACCTTGAAGAAGAAGCCGACCCCGGGCTTCTGGTCACCGTCGCTGACAAGCTCCGGAGCACTGTCCTGGCCTGCCAGCTCACCGTCCTCGTCAGGGGCCTTCAGGTGGGCCAGGTCCACCTCGATGAGGCTGGCCTTGCTCCTCAGTGGCTCTTCCCCGGGAACAATCTCTTTCATGGGGAGGAGCTCTCTGCTGGCAGAGCTCAGCCCTGCCTCTTTCATGCTGGCACCTAGAACTTCTCTGAGGCCTATATGCTCCGCAATGATGTTGGGATCTTTGGGCGAGGGCAGAACACATGTCCGCTGGTTGCTCTCATCATGGAGCCGGTAACTGTCAAACAGCCCCTTCTCAGGGTGGCCACCGGGGTCGGCGGCACCGTCCATGCCAGGGTCAGAGGGCAAGTGAGGGGGGTGTCCTGGGGGGAAAGGCCGCAGGTGCGGGAGGCTCTCCACGCTGGGTGTCGGGGTTTTGCTCCTGGAGGAGCCCAGTTGCCTGTCTTTGGGAACCTTGAGCTCCGCTGGTCTTCCGGAGCGGGAGTTCCGGCCCTGGCCCAGCCGGGGCAGTTTGCGGTGACCAGCCATCCCGGGTGGCGAGAGCGGCTCCACAAAGTGGATAGCAGCCTTCACTTTTTGGTCCTGGGAGTTGCTCTTAGAGCTTGGCGTTGGGACAGTCGGGGACTTCATGAGCAGCTGCTCCTGCTGCTGTGAGATCTTCAGTATGGCCTGCTGCAGCGTGCTGATGGTCTCGTTCAGCTTCTCAATGGACAGCTCACACTCAGTCACATCCACCCCCTCGCCCACCCCATCCTCCAGGAGGCCGGCAGAGATCATCTTGCTCTTATCCACGTCGTGTAGGATGGCCACATCTCGGGGTCTGTGAGGCGGGGCGAGAGCCAGGCTCTCTCCGTCCACGTCCGCGTCCGTGTCCCGAGACTCGCTGAGGTGCTCCGTTCTGGGAGGGCTGCCGTCCAGGTGCTCCCCGTTGTGCTGAGAGTACTCCTTCACAAAGTGTTCGGGCCGCAGTGGCTGCGGGGCACCGTCCACCCTGCCCTTCTTCACCACATGCAGGAAGGCAGCCTTGCCCAGCTTCAGGCGCTGCCGTGCCGACAGCGCTTCCATCTTCTGTTTCTGGGCCTCAATGGCCCTGCGCTTCTCCTCCAGCTGCATGTGCAGCTGCACCAGCTCGGAGGCCAGGAGGCTGGCGGGGTCCTTGCCGTGCCTGCCCGGGCTCTGCTCCCTCTTCTGCCTCCACGTGGTCAGGGGCACAGGGCAGCTCTCGGAAGCATCTGGGGTGGTCTTCTGGGAGCTGCTGGTGCTTGACTTGGTCTCATAGCTGTTGAGCCGCTGGAGCTTCCGCTCTGCAAAGCTGGTCATCTTCACGCTGCCGCTCGCCAGGGACACACTGCTGAGCTGGGAGGCGGTGCTCAGGCATGGGCTCGAGCGGCCGCTGGCGCCGTCCTTGTCCTCGTGCTCCCGCACCTTCATGTCCTCTTGCAGCTTGGCCGATTCCTCCTCGCCAGCGTAGGTGGTGATGACTACAGGGTGATCCCCGCCAATGAAGTCCTGCTCCGTGTCCTCTATGTCAACCACGTCAGACTCGGAGTCCTGCCTCAGGAGCGTCCAGGGCTCTGAGTCTTGCGAGCTGGGACTCTTGGAGCTGATGCACAATCTGCCCTCCGTGTCCTCGTCAGCTCTGCCCACGTGAAGGAAGAAGCCATCAGCAGCCTGGCCCTGGGGTGAGGGCTGGAACCCGCTGACGGCCAGAGGTCCCCCACGCACTTCTCCCACGGCGTCCGCCCAGAGCAGACTCGCCTCGGCAGGGTCGACACCCGCCAAGAACTCCAAACATGGGATGGGGGTGAAAGTCCTGTTCAAGTCCCGCCCACCATGACCATGGCTGCCGGTCGCTTTCTTCCGTGCCAGCAGCTGGGGACCCTCGCTGGCCCGCCTGGCTGTGGAGCTCCTTGGCCGCCCTTCCCCGCACTCGTCCTCCTTGGTAATAATCTGCTTCTCCTTCGCTGGCCTCAGCACTGCTGGCATCAGTGGCTCCAGGAAGAAACTGTCGGGCTTACTCTCCATGAGGTCCAGCTGCCTCTGGGGAGACCTGGCACTGGCCAGCAGGCTTGGCGCACGGGGTGAGGCCCTGGCAACCTCCAAGTCCCCACGGTGGGCAGTCGCGTCTGTCCTGATGATGGCCACGAGCTCTTCCTCCTCATCCTCAATGCTGACGTTGCTCAGGAGGCTTTTCCCATTGGCCTTCCCAGCCGCAGGGTGTGGCTGGTTCTGGGGCGTGAGGTGGACAATGTTGGAAGCCAGGCTGTCTTTGCTGATGGAGCGAGCCAAGCTGATGCTGTCACCGGAGCCAGGGTCCACCTCGCAACTTGTGGCATGATGGACTGCGAAAGGCGTTGGCTGGGACACGGGCCTGAAATTCAAGCAGAAACCATGCATATGGAACCGTGCGCAAGAGACTGCTCGGCACCGCCCACCTGACGGGGTTCTGGTCATGGGAGTCCAGTGAAAACCTCAACGGAAACATCACCGGAAAAGGACTGACCTGGCTTTTTTTTCCGGCCATGCTACAGCTGCGCCTCGCGGCTGACCGTCAACACGCGTTAAAGAATTAGACCGATGCCGCTGATCTGCAGAGTGAAGGAAATAACACTCAGTGTTCTAAGTAACCAATTCTGTACCACTGGAAATGCTTTCAGCACAACAAATGATCTCAACTCAGTACACCGAAACCACTCAAGGAGAGCAGGTGAGCTAAGCAACCCTACCTACAGGCTTCATCAATTAACGTGGGACCTCACAGTAACCAGCCCAATGCGGAAGTGAGCCAGAATTCGAAGTGAACTGCAGTACAGAAGTTCTTGCCTTGGTCCCCGTAGCAATTCCGGGTCTGTGCAGGACTTATTAGACTTGGATGGGATTTTCACAGAACACTGTGAAGGTACTGTCAGGGTACCTCAGCACAAATGAGGACTCACCACTCATTCGTCACTAGTCCCTATATCAGAATGCGATCGCTCACTGTTCAGAGGTCTTGTTTCACTAAGCTGGGTAAGAAGACAGGAGGGAGGGAAGCAGGGGAGGGACGTGCACTCTGCATGCTCACCGGGCGTCTCCTCCGCCTGCGCTGCTTTCTGCTGTTTCTGCCTCAGCGGCAACAACGGATGGGATGAGCTAAATGCGGAAGTTCCTTTCCCACTAAATGGAAAAAGAATTTGAGAGAAAAATCACCACTTATAAAACTTTAACTTCAAAAGTAAATGCATTTGAAACAACAAAGATCATCATGAATTCATTTTAAGCTGGAGCAGCTGGATAGGTTTTCTGGGAAATACAGCTATAAAAACGAACCAAAAGGCTACCAAGAGCTTCCGACTTGAGATGACACCCGAACTGGGAACACGGGACATGCTGACTTCTGGTCCGTGGACAGCAAGCCAGTTTCCAATTTCAACAGCAAAACCCAACCACAAGGTTACATTTGAGATAAGCCAGAGTGGAAATAAGAAAAGTGACTTGAGTGTGATTTTCAAAACCACACATTACTGGCTCAATGGAAAGCCAGGGAACTTTAGAGGTAAAGTAGACGGCACCAAACTAACACGGAAATGTGGACGAGTGCGGTCCCCCGGGAGGCAGAGGCAGCGTGGCCCGTCTACTCGGTGATCACGCCTGGACACATGCAGAGCCACAGGAGTGAAGATGCACACTCCTGACAGACGCCACGGGGCTTAGAATCAGAAATGAGGCCCGTGCCGCAGCCACTCTGGCTGCCTCACTTGGGGGAACTTGGCAAGGAACACGTCACAAAGGTGTGGGCAGGGTGGAGGGGCCATGGGACACCGGCACGCTGGGCCGCAGCTGCCAGGCTTGGGCCTAAAGAGGCCAGTGCAGGGCGAGGGCGTCCAGGGTCAGAAGGGAGGGACCACAGAGAGGAGAGGGCGAGAGGATACACAGGTCCAGAGCTGTGTGCCGAAGGGCAGGGGGTGCAGGAAGCCCGGCCCAGCGGCAGGGCCCTCAAATCCCACACGCAGCGGGCACTGAGACACCGTGCAGTTGTCTGCCTGTGCAGGAGCAGGGAATTGGCAGACGGCAGCTTCTCACAGCACACTGCCAGGTGGAAAGCAGGGCGGCAGGCAGCGTGCATGTGTGGCACAGCACTGAGGGGCAGACCGGGAGAAGGGATGCCCACAGGGGGCATGGCTGTGCACTCTGCCTTTAGGCTTCTGTCTCCTCTCGGGCCCCGCCTGTGGCCTGATGACCCATCCTTCCCCCTTGCTCAAGCCTCCAAAGACACAGTCACCCCAGGATGCCGAGAGAGGTCCTTACACCAGCTGGCTCACGAACCATTCTGTCCATGCGCTGCTTAAGACCACATTTTTACGGCTTTAAACTTAACTCCCAATCCACTCAACCTCCACACTTTAAAAGGCTTTTCTACATACTAAGTGCCCTTAGCTGGACACCTGGCTCAGCGACCGCACTCATTCCCAACACTGCCTGCGCGTGAGGGGCTGGGCTGCTCCGCTGGGACACCCAGGCCTCCCGCCACAGACCACGGGCTCCTACCGACTCCAGAGAGGCTGCCGCAGCCCCTCTGCACGCCTCACCAATCCACCCTGATGCGCCTGGCCGGGCCAGGCCTTGCTGATGAACACCAGTGTCCAGAAAAGCACTGCAAGCAGCTTTGCTTCTTGCAAGAACCACAGGAACTGTCACTGGAGGCGAGGACACAGACTGACGCGGATCACGCACGGACAGTTTACACCACCCAAAATTAAGAGTTTTTTCATTCTTTACATTCTACTAGGCTGTATTTCAAAGCAATTTTAAACTATTATTTCAGTTTTTCTACTCTCTACATCATTTTTTTTTTTTTGGTACTGGGGATCAAACTCAGGTCCTTGCACTTTCCCTACATCATTTTTAAACCATGCGCTTTACGAATAAAGAAATACATTTTCCATAAACAATGCTGGGATTGGGTGCAAGTCCTCCAAGGAGTTTTGCGACAGGGGAAGAGGAGGCTGGCGTCGGTCCTGGCCCTGGGGTCACTTGCGGAATCTGTGCGTCACCTACTGGACACAGGCGCTTCAGCTAAAACCTTAAGCTACCATGACAAGGAAAACGAGACCGTGCATGAACTCTCCAGGCTGAGAGACAGACTCACAGACACTCAGCTTCCTCGGGGAGGAGGTGGTACCTGCGCCCGCCCTCGGCCGGCAGCGAGGCAGGCGGCAGGTCAGCTGGGCTCAGAGCAGCAGGGCTGCCCAGGAAGCTGCGTTTGGTGGCGTTGGAGATCTGCACAGGAGGCCGGCTGCTCTTCTGCGGTAACACTGCTTTGGCTGCAAAAGTGGGCATTTTACAGAAGTGTTCAGATTAGGGTTGCAACACTGGCATGGAACACGCCTGCTTTCTCCTTTGTGACAGGGTCTCGCTGTGCAGTTCAGGCTGGCTTTGAACTCACAGGGACCCTCCTGCCTCCATCTCCTGAGTGCTAAGATTACAGGTGAGCATCACCACGCCTGGCTAAGCCTGCATGTTTTATAAGCACAAAAACAACTCAACTTTTTTCTGAAGCCAAACTTCTCCAGAAAATTGGTGTCAAATTTAACAAATGTACCATATAATGTCAGATACGACTTTTTTTTTTTTTCAGTTTTTTGAGACAAGGTCTTGCTATGGAGCCCAGGCTGTCCTTGAACTCATGGCAATCCTCCTGAATGCTGGGATTTCAGGCATGTGTCATGATGCCTGGCAAATGTTATAAACTTTATACCAAAATCCCAAAACACAACACAGACTAGAACAAGAACAGTGGGCGGAAAAGGTCAGCTCCACCCACAGGCCCCAGCATCACACAGCCCTTCCTTGGGCCACGGCAACTGCTCCAGACTCTCAGGGAACCCTCCGTGGGGCAGCCACTCACCATCTTTCAGCTCCTGAACATCCCGGGGCTGGACGAAATCAGGTTTGACATTCTCAAACCACCAGAAGAGCTCGGCAATAAAAACCATGACATTTGGCTGAAAGAAAAACAGAAAGCAAGACAAGGACGTAAGCACGCGCTCACGCGCAGGCTGAGCGCACACGTGGGGCCAGCCTCACCTTGAGCACCAAGGGCGCGTACAGCATGTCCTCCAGGGTGAGGTAGAAGCACTTGTTCAGGTGCTCGCTGGCGAACTCTCTCAGAAGCCGGATGTTGTACAGGCTGTCGGCCATGGACGGCACCTCCTTCAGGCATATATCTGACAGACACGGAGGACTGGACTTAGCACCAGACGCTGCTTCGGAAGCAAGCATGCAGGCACACAGCCCCGATCTGGGGCCACGTCGTGTGGGGAACATTGGTACCCAGAGTTTCACAAGTGCCATCAAATGCAGAAGGAATATGCTCAAGGAAAAAGTAGAGACACCTTCGGGTGTGGATTTAGTGGTTTAACACTGAAACACCCCAACAAACCACTAATGTGAGACCGAGCTTCTAAAATGAAGAGGAAGTGACTGGTTCACCCAGACCCTGCTGCTTATGGCTGAAGAGCAACTTCCAGTCAGCAGCCAGACCCTCGCACAGGGCCTGCCAGTGTCTGCCGAGAGGGGGGCCAGGAAACTGTCACGAAGAGCGCCAGTACCAGATCGAGCGCCTCTTCCATGAAGATGTGGGGCACCTGCTGTCCCCTCTGGGGCACCGGGCTCCCACTGGGGAGAGATGCACAGGCCCACTGACCGGGCCTGTTCAGGAAAACAAACATTGTCAGGTTCAGAAGTGTGAGCCAGGTAGATCTTCTTGTCAATCAGGCCCAGGTCTTTAGTCCAAGGGTAGTGTTTCTGCCTCACACCAGTGGGTGCTGCCAGTCACACAATGGCCACCTGTCAGCAGGCCCGATTAGCTGGTCCTCCCTGTCTGTCCCTAGGGGCTGCATGACCCCCAACACGTCGGTCCCTGCACAGCCCCCCTTCTCTGGGCTATGCGTGCAGCCCCACTCCACATGACCCTCCTGGGCCACAGCCTCACAGCCTCACAGCCTCCGCCAAGGTAAAGTCGACAAGAGTCGGCAGTCACAGAGCAAGCACCCACATTCCTACTCTTCAGCTAACCTGGCTACAGCCGAGACAGTCTAAGCAACAAGTCGTGGAAGAGCTGGATTACAATGCCCTGAAGAGAACCAGGCTGCAGAGGCCACAGCGCTCCAGGCCACAGAACAGGAGAAGAGCACGCTCTCCACAGCAGAGCGCTGACGAGCAGCAGGCGCAGAGAGGTGGGTGACGAGTCTGAGGAGAGGGGTGAGGGAGCCCAAAGCCTCGCCCAATGCATTAGCCGATGCTCAAGCCAACGTCCCCGTCCAGCGGGCAGCCCGGCACAGGCCACCCGACCGATGCCCCAGGCACACTCCGCCACCGCCGGCAGCTGCCAGCGCCAGGAGCGGCACCTGGAGAGGGAGAGGAGCACTGTGTGGAGGCCACCCCGGGCGGGCGAGGGCGGGCCAGGCCGTGTATCAGGAGGGGCCGCCCCAGGGCCCCACCACCCCTTCAACCAAGAGCGCAGGCAGCGTGGCAAAGCGATGTGGCCCTTGGGCTCTCATCACCCACGGGAGCTTTTGCACTACCTTGTCCATTTCTGTGAAAACAACCTGCACTGACAATAAATGTACAGAATAATCTGAAAAGCTGTGATTTTTAGGATACTGACTCAGCATCTGAGAATGTTAAGCCTTGGCCCAAGCACTACAGAAAAATTTGCTTTTACCTTACAATTTTTGTTTTGTTTGGTTTGGTTTGGTACTGGGGATCAAACTCGGGACCTTGCGCTTGGGGAGGCAGGCGTGGTGGCACTGAGCCACATCCCCGGCCCAAGCTTACAATTTGAAGCCTGTTTTCCACCTCGTTTTCCCTCCCGCCTTGCTTCTCCCCACTCCCGACTTCTTCACGGTCACCCCATGCTGCGTGCAGGACACAATGTCCTGGGGAGGGCCCCTGGGACCCAGCCTGCCTCTCCCTGCTTCCCAGGCACAAGGTGTGGCAGGGTGACAAACATGACCAGACTGGCCTGAGTCACTCGCAGCCCAAGAACTGCACCTACTGGGATGATGGCGTAGGGCGTGCTGCACGCCTCAGTTCTTGTCTCCCAACACTGTGAGTGGGACTTCCAGCCTGCAGTAATGGGGAGCCCACCACCGCTGGCTTCCAACAATCCCCCTACAGGAGCGGGAGGCCGCCCATCCGTGCTGCTCCCGGACAGCCCGGGTCACCCAGAGACTGCCAGGCCCTGAACCAGGCATGGCGCCCCAGCCCAGCGCCTCTACTCCTGAGCCCATCTACTATGTTGCTGGCGGGTCTCTGAGTTCCTGGCTCTCCTGGGCCCGATGGCAACGGTCCCTGGCGGCTATCATTCCAATGCAGCTGGCACACAAACATTCTCAGTGGTCTTGCTATCCACTAGACCTGCAGTTTATCTTCCTATTCACAATATTCCTTACTTTAGCCCTTCTTTGGATCTTTCCAGAAAACTTTCTATTTCATTAATCCTTTAAGAGAATAAGCTTTAGTTTTACATATTCTTTAAAACTTTTACTAATGTATTATTTTGCAAAAGGAATTTATCAAAAACTTTTAAGATTTTTATATTGACAAAAATCATAACATCCTTAAAATGCCACCAGGATTTTTATTAAAAAGCTTAAAAAGAGGCCAATGTCTACCCACGCCCTCCACATCCCCTTGCTGAACGCTCTGCCGTGCGCCCGCCAGGCTGCACTGTGTCAGCTGCACTGATGAGTGGCAGGCGGTGGCCATGGCCCAGCGGCGTCCTGCGTTCACCCAGCACTCATGTGGCTGGGCCCAGAGGAAGCTCCTGGGACCATGTCCTCGCCCGAGCCAGGTCTCTGCCTGCAGACCTGGGATTTGCCTGCAGGCCACGCAGCCAGGCCTGCCCGCCCCTCCTGGTCCAGGAGCCTGAGGACTTCGGTGTGGACATGAGCCTCTCCCCCTCCCCTGGATGGGAGTGTGTCCTGCCGAGGTCTCCCTGGGCACTGGGTGCCACCTGGCTGTCCTGCTGTCGTCATGCTCCTGTCCTCCCACACTCACCAGGGCCTCCTCTTCCCCCTTCAGCAGCCACAATGGCCACCTGCTGGGTCCTTAGGAGGTGGCCACCTGCATCCCTGGGGCATCCTTCTGTACCTCTCCTTGGCTGATGCCTCATGCTGTTTTCTCTGCTCTTCCTCCCTACACTCATCTCTGCTTTGTCGACCTTTTCCTCCTTGCCCTGGTTCCTAGGAGGTTTCTTCCACTCTGCTTAAAGAAGTTCACCGGTGAACTCTGCCACTGCAGTCACTGAGTGCCCCCTTGCCCGGAGCACCTCGGAGTCTGACTCTGGGTGTCCCGGGGTCCACACCTGGGTATCGCCGCTCACCGATGCTGCTTCTCCTGCACTGCTTCTGTGACCTGGTGCTCATTCGGGTTGGGGTCGCCAGCCACGCCCAGGTCAGGAGGAGGCCTCAGGACAGAGGCGACAGGGCAAGCCCCAGTGGTTGTGGGCCTCCTGCCTGAGGCCAGTTGGTGCACAGGAGAATGCTCCCTCTGCACCGGTGCGAACCGCCCCTTCTTGGGGCAGGTGGACTGCACAGAGAGCTACACCAAGGCCCTCTTCAGTGTGCGCTCACTCCTGCACGTCCCCAGGCCCGGGGTGTGAGCCTGTAGCCTGCCTGGCGCACTTTCCCCCAAGAGGCGGCCCCCAGCTCCTCTCGCATGCTCTTCAGCCCTACTCGGCACCCCCCACATGGACTCCTGGCTCCTCTGCCTGGGCCCTCTCCCCTCCCCCCGTACCTGCTGGTCAGCAGGCTGCTCTGAGGCTGGACACTTCCGAGTCTCACCCCAGGAGCGGGCAACTCGGCTCCTCACTTCTGACACACGCACAGGCAGGCGATGCTGTCAGTGTCCCTTCCTGTGGGACTGGACCGCTTCTCTGTCCCCTGCGCGTGCACCGCAGTGGTGCTGGTCTAGCACATGGGCCCCGTGATGCAGCTCCCTGCACGCCTCGCAGGCTGCGTCCTGCACCTCTGACAACCATCGGTCACTGTCAGCCTGTCCCAGACATGAGTTTAGATGATGGAGATTTGTAGGAGAATGAGGAGGACGGAACTGCCTGCCCCACAGTTTGCAGCAGCAGTTCCACAGCGACCTCAGCACTAAGGACGCACTTACAGTGCTCCCTCTGGTCCACGGCATTAAGGGTTTCCAGGAGGAGCGGGACCAAAGCCACACGGGTTCCTGACTTCTAGCGCTCTGCACTGGGAGCTGTGCCCAGGCTTCGGAATCTGGCAGTTTCTTCTGTGACCATCCACTTCTGCTGGTCCTGTGTGAACGCACCCATGTGAACCCCGAATCTTGGAAAGGATGTGTCCACAACAGCAGGCACATCAGGCACAGCCTGCTCACTGTGCCTCACTAAGTCTAAACTGATCCACCGTTTCCCCGAAGACAGTGGTGCCACTCCGGCAGCCCAACTCGGAGTCCGTCATTTCCACATGTCCACGTTGCCGCTCTGCCCCAGCTGCAGTGACTCCTCATGGCTGTGCTGTCCTGTGAGCGACAACTGGATCCCGAGTATTCCCTTTGGCCTCAGGGCCCCCAAGGAAGGCTCACAGGCGGCAGATGTGATGGGGGAGGACGGAATCTGTGCCTCGGGAGGCAGACCTGAGAGAGCACTGCCCAAGGCAGGAGGCGAAAGGATGAGGGAGGAGAGGCGCTGCTGCAGCTGCAAACCTGGGGACATCACCATCCAACGTCTTCCTGCTGGCCTCCGTCCGCCCCTTCCTGACCTGCATCCCTTTAAGACTCGTTCTCTTCTGCGTGGTCTGGGTGTGGGCCTCGGGCTCCATCAGAGCACCTGCAGGACCGTGAGCATCCAATCCCAGAGCACTTTTGACACAGACCTTTCCTCTAGGAGCCTCTCAGCCCCCTTCTCACTTCATGCTGACCCCAGAGAGGCGGGCATCTGAGAAGCCCCCAAACTTTTCCAGCTCTTCCTCTGTAAGGCCCAGCCCCAGGCCTGACAGAGCTGCAAACTCCAGCCCCCGGGCCCCCGGGCACGCACATCCTCTCCCATGAGCTCTCCTCTAGGCCTCTCCTGGCAGCTGCGGCTCCCCTGCCTTTCCAGTGCAGCTCTGTGGGTGCAGTGGTACACTCCTGCAGTCCCAGCTACTTGGGAGGCTGAAGCATGAGGATCGTTTGCAGTCCAGGAGTGTGTGGTCAGCCTGGACAACACAGTGAGGCCACATCTCAAAACAAAAGAGTGCGGCTCTGTGTCTGAGACTATGCTGTGTGTAAAACGTGTATCCTATTCAGCACTTCGTCCCTGGGGGCTGAGTCTGAGATGCCCGTCCAAGCCACACACCCACTCCAGATGGAAGGGTGCTTAGCAGCAGCTGGGCAGACTCTGTCCCAGGCTCCACCCTGCTGCAGGCCACACTGCCACCAAGGGCACAGGTGTGCAGGAGTGCTCCGCGGCACACTGAAGTACTGGCTCTCATTCCCCCACGGAGTTCCAAACCCTTTAAACCAGAGGAAGGATGCACGAGAGCCCACCCACACTGAGGCACAGGGAGCCTCACAGCGGATGCCTCGACACTGCCTAGATATGCTCGGTGGGCTGGGGCTCGAGGGGACAAGATCAGGGGCCCCAGGTGTGCACAACCCCGTGGCGCTGCCCGTGCATGGCAGAAGGTGTCTCCACTCACCATCCAGTCTCATCTGCTCGGGGCAGTAATAGTGCACCACCGCCAGGAGAGCAGCCCCATCGCTGCCGCCTCGCATCAAGTCCTCCAACAACGGGAAGTAGGGCGACTGCCTGGCGGAAAGGTGCTCTCGGCGATAGCGGACCTGCAGTTGATGAAAGGAAAACGGTCTCTGCGTGTGTGCCCGCACCCCCACACGTGCTACAGCCACGCTGCGGGAGCACAACACAGGCAGCGCCCGAGGCCCACGGAGAAAACCTGCGACTGCCTGGCATGCTGGCACTGCCTGGGTGGCACTCTCTGCCCACAACCCGCATCAAGATCCGGGCGCCTGGGCTGTGCCCCTACACCGGGTGGCAGCCATGCTCTGCCAGCACCACCAGGGCCAGCCGGACACAGCTGACACTGGGGCAGATGCACGGGAAGGAGGCAGGACACACGTCTGTGCTACCAGAGCCAACGCACTACAAACAGGCGAGAAACAAGTTAAACGTGAACATCCTGACGCTGCAGCTACTGTCCCAGCACCACCAGGGCAGCCTTGGCCATTAAGGAAAACACAAAACAGCACTGGTGCACAGTCTGAGAAATTTCAGAGCAAGGTGAGGCCAATTTATCACAACACAGACATCAGCCGTCTCAGAACTTTGGGATGCGCCAGGAAGCCCCTCCTGCGGGTGCTCAGGATGCACTCGCCTGATTGAGGCTTTGGTGTCTCCGCCTACAGAGGAAGCCTTGGGCCCTCAGCTCTGCTCCTGTGGCTGATTGAGCGTGCAGGAGCTGGGCCAGCTCGGGGCAGTCCCGGGCCTCAGCCCCTCCTGCTTCGTATCAGCAGTGTTAACACATGGCTCTCCTGCTGGCTACAGCTCCTGCAGAGGGAGATGTGCGACACGGGCCACCCCGTGGTGTAAGAACGCTGGGTTTCCAGTTCTGCAGAGCTGATTTCAAGGGCGGTCTCTCGGCAGCCCAGAACCTCCAGCTGACATCCAGAAGCAACAAAGTATAAAATAATCACATTTAGCATAAGACACTTCTAACACTGTCTTTATCAATTAAGCAGCAAGGCTTGTTTCATGTGAGTATGTTGACAAAACTCGATTTAACTTGTTTCTCAGAGCCCAGGGCACACGCTAGCACAGGCAGCCCGCCTCCTACTGTGCCACACGTGCAAGGCGCAGGGGCTCCAGCATGCAGCACCACGGCATGCGCCATGCCAGGCTTCCACAGGCAGCAGACACGCGGGCCAGCAGAGTCATGCATGAAGCAAATGGTTTCTTGATTAAAGATGGATGGTGAGGGTCAATCAGGCAGGACACTGAGCTACGGGGCCGGGAAGCTCGCGCACACTGGAACCCTGACCCTCTGGCTGTGGGGTGTTAGGGTGAAACCTCTACCCTGTCAACCTTCATCAGATTCATCCTCACTGGCTATTTACTGAGCACTGTGGCAGGGCAGTCACATGTTCTCTGATAAGGGGACACTGATCTTGGTCACATTCTGCTGCCGTCATTGAATCATACTCCTTGTAGGACAGCTGCATTTGTGAGCCTTGCCTCAATCACATCTGGACTCGAGAGGCCAGAGAGCTGTGGATCCCCATGAGGCAGCTCTCCTGCTAACGCATGCGGAGGAGCAAGGTGGCAGGAAGACAGGCCTGGAGCAGAGGGGCCCTGTGCAGTCCACAGCTGACCCGAGGAGGGTACAGAGGGTGATGCAGGCCAAGTCATGAAGCCACCAAACACAGGCATCAGAGGGACACATACAAAACCATCTGCACAAGGACTCGTGTCCAAAAGTCCATGCAGAAAGGCACCACTGGGCACCAAGCATTTCCTGTAGGGGCAGAGTGACAAACCAGCTCTGTGCAGAATGGGCCACCAGGTGGGGCACAGGTAGAACTGTCTAACCAGATCACTGTCTTCAAGCTAAGTCCAGAAACCCTGTGCCTGTGCTGGCCTGCTGACCATGCTGAGCCCTTGCCTGGGAGCCAGCACATGCCAGGGAGGAGAGACACAGGAGGAGGCCATGGGGTCTGGGACACAAGCGAGAGTCCTCTCCGCAGTCCACCTACATCCTCCCCAAGGAACCACCTTCCTGACTGGACTCCAGCCTCAGGATGCCAGGGGACAGTATGGTAAACACCACTGCTGGGCAGGTGACATCGGAAAGGACCAAGCGTCAGGAGCAGCTTGGGCTACTACGTCATCGTCAGCCTTTCCAGGACTGTGTCCCATCAGCTATGCTCCACTGGTCACATAAAGCCGTCACCAGGAACGAACAAATGAACAGCTTTCGGGGGGGCTGGGCAGACATAACCAGGAAGCTCACAGGGCCACGTCACAACCCTACCAGCCCCGCCAGGCATCCACTCATACTGTACTAGAGAAGGTGTAACACCAGTCCCAGGCGGACACTTGAACAAACAACAACAAAACAGTTCTAGGTGCGAGCAGTTTCAATGGCAGCGCGTGATGGCAACAGGATGGCTCTGCAGACAGCAGCTGGTGGCAGGGTCACTTACGGGCACTAACTTCCAATACCACTTGGAGGGAGACTGCTCAGGAAGCAGGAAGGAAGGTGGAGAGGAGCGTCAGCAGCAGGTCCATGGGGCGTCGCGACACACGCTCGCTCGCACAGTGGAGGTGGGGACAGCCTCCCGTAAGCAAGGCTTTTGGGTACCTGTGACCTCCCCATGCCACAGCGCCAGGAGAGTCCCTCCCTCAGGCCCTCCAGACAGGAGGGTGGGCTGCTCCCAGCCACGCACCACTGCGGGTCGGGGCAATGCCTGCAATCCACACAGAAGCCCTGGGCTGCAGTCTGACTCAGCCCCATTGGGCTGCCAGGAGCTGGCCAGGGCAGTGTGCGGAGGGAGAACTATGGGGTGGGGGCTGCTCCCCACAGCCAGTGAGACCTCAGCTGCAGGCCAAGTCCTGCTCACGTGTGCTTGGCAAGAGAAAGACTGATGCCCAGAATGTGCAGCACACCCACGACACACACATTTCCCACCTGAGCCCCCACTCCGGGCTTCTCGGACGCCCACCAGCCACACTGCACCTGGGGGCCACTGCCGGGAAGCACCGGACACCGCAGGCAGCAGGCAGACCCCCATGCATGCACTTCGGGAAGCCCACTTCTGGGGGCCCGGGCCCCCACTCTTGCGTGGCCCGAGCCCGCCCAGCACACTCACACCCTCCTACAGCCCAACAGCCAGAGACCTCTTTCAGGGAGGGGTGCTGGGCTGCGGGCCGCCTTCCCAGGGCAGACTAGGCCGCAGAGCGGGGGCTGGCTTTGAGGGCCAAGTGGAGAGGACCAGCACACAGGCACAGGCCCAACCCTCAGGAAGCAGCACCAGCTCTAGCTTAGTACATTGCAGAGCAATCAGATTTGCCCTTTACCTTTTGATGAGCCGGGCTTTCCAGTAACTGCTGCTTTAACTTGACTTCCTTTTCTGTGATCTCTCTCATTTTGAGATTTACCTAAGGTAGAAGAGAAACACATTAGAGGAAGCTGCTCTCCCACACTAGCCCCACACCTCCAGCTCTGGCCTGGAGCCCCCGCTTCACCTGCTGCAGCTCTGGCCTAGGGTCCCGCCCACCTCTGAGCACTGCAGCCACAGGGCGGGCAGTGGCACTCGCCAGTGGCCCGGAGCGTGTGTGAGACACACGCTCACCAACGCCATCAGCAAATGTAAGGAGCCCAGTGGGGCACAGGTCACAGCTCCCCAAGCACACCAGACACCACCGACTGATCCCCCACAATGCCCTACGGATGCTCCCACAAAGCTAGAAACCTAAGTATTGCCTCCCGCAATCGCTAATGCACCACAATAAAACCACACAGGAAAGGGGTATGGGCCATGGTCAGAGCCATGATCGGAGGAAGAGGTGAAGCCTGAATATTTGTCATTACACAACAGGCGAGTCACTTGTGCAAACTGCACCATGAGAGCAAGCACACGCCTGTGACCCAGCACTGAGGAGGCTGAGGCAGGAGGACCACACACAAGCTCTTCCCACCTGGGCACCTTACAAGACCCCATCTCAAAATAATAAATGAAAAGAGGGCTGGGGAGGCAGCTCAGGGTGAAGCCCCTGTGTTCAACCCCAAGTGTTTAAAAAAAAGGATAACTTGTACTCTGTTTTTAAAACTCAAAAACAGATAAAGGAAAAATCAATACAGGTAAATATAAAAACCAATGAATTAGAAAACATGAAAAAGACATGTCCACAACCAAGTTTTGTAAGCATGATTAAAATCAAATCTAGAAGCTAGGCTTGGGGGCGCAGGCCTATAATCTCAGCACTGGGGAGGCTGAGGCAGAAGGTTCATGCATCTAAGGCCAGCCTGGACAACACAGCCAGTTCAAGGTCTGGACTACATAGTGAGACTCTGTCTCAAAGAACAAAAACAGAGCCAAAAAGTCAAATAAAAAACAAAACAAAACTACAACATGACACCTCATAATTTTTGAAGGAAAGTAAAACCACTAGAAAGTACCACATGAAAGTATGTATCCTCCTACTTAAAACAGAAATTCACTTCAGGTTTTTGACAGAAAGACCATTTTAAAAGCCAATATGATTGATTGTATATTAGCACTAAGATAATCCAAGAGGAGACTAAACATGGCAAATTAAACATTTGCTACTATCTCTGACCTCTGTCAAACCACATGAACCAAAAATGTAACAGCTATGGGCCGGGGATGTAGCTCAGTGGCACAGCGCCTGCCTCGCAAGCACAAGGTCCTGAGTTCAATCCTGGGTACCAAAAAAAGGAACAGCTAGAAATCCACAGGAAAAAAAGAGCAACAGGGGCAAGATGGAAAAGCCGGTTCCGGAGGAGCGGAAGACAGGGCCACCGCCCACACCCGTGCCTGGGGAAGCAGGGCTGGAGCCAGGAGCCAGGAGCCAGAGTCGAACCTGGAACCGAGGGCAGAAACAGTGGGCAGAACCATCAGCCCCGCCCTGCTCTGCCAAGGAGCAGCCAGCAGCAGCCAGCAGACTCCAAGTGTGCTCTCCGGACAGAGGCCGCCAGCCAGGGCTCCAGAGCCAGCAGAAAACCTGATGCACACGCGCAGGCACAGCCAGAAGAGCCAAAGCTCCACGAGTTCACACCTGCAGGAAGAACCGGAAGAGTGGGGTTCAAGGGAGCAGTGGGGAAAGGAAGGTGACACAGGAGGAGCTGCAGGGCCCCCAGCCTGCCACGTGGGGCCTGGGGACCCTGGCGACCCGAGACACCGCCCAGGACAACCGGGGCTCAGAACTCTGCTCTCCTCCCGCCACATCCGCACGTACTGATGGTCAGAGGCAGTCAAGGCAGCGGCACCAGGGCCACAAAGGCCCTCATGGCTCCACGTCATCAAGAACACACAGGCTGCCGAGGTCCTCCGGGAGGCAGGAAAAGCTTAGCCCTTCAGCACGGTCGCACGTCCTGTGGAGCCGCACGGAGCGCGGCACTGTGGAAAGGTGACCACAGGGACGCCCATGGGCCTCTGTCTGAGCTGCACTGACCCTGTCTCGCACACCGTGAGACACTGTCTCTGACCGAGCGATGGGGCACTGACAGCTCACAGTATTTGTTTCTGGTGTCAAAATATGAATCTCAAAGGCCGGGGATTTAGCTCAGTGGTTTCGCCACCTGCTGTGCAAGCGCAAGGACCCAAGTTCGATCCCCAGTACCAAAAAAAAAAAAATGAATCTCAGACAAAAATTAAAATTTTGGAAAATCTGTCTCTGCCACCAAAAGCTAGATGGCTTCCCACTAAGAAAGACTCCTCTGGTGGGGTCAGTGGTAAGAGCAGCCACGTGACGTTTCGTGCTGTACCACGAAGGTCTGTGAGATCTAAACGACCGACACACGGTCTTATGAAACCACGGGTGCCGAAATCCCAGGAAAAAAGTGAGAGAGAGATGGGTTTTAATAAGGCAGGGCATCAAAAGTTCACTGATCTAGTATTTAGGGTACAAGAAGAACTCAACAACAAAACAAGATCTAGTTTTAAAACGTGCAGGGAATCTGAATGAGTATTTCTCCTAAGAACATCTGTAAACGGTCACAAGCACAGAAAAGAGGGCCCACACCTGCGGCAGGAGGGAACTGCAAACCGAAGCGGCAGCGAGATGCTGCCTCTTTCCCTGTACCCAGGAAGGCTACTCAAAAGCTAGCAGAAATGACGCGTGCTGACGAGGATGGAGAGAACAGGAAGCCTCACACGTGGCTGGTGGGAAAATCAAAGGGCACAGCGGCTGTGACAAGTCTGGCGGCCCCTGAGAAAGTTCAATGGAGTGACCATGTGACCCAGCAGCTTCCCCCTCCGTACACACCCACACAGAGCGAAGACATGTGTCCACAGGAAAACTTACACACAGCAGCACGAGTCACAAGCATCACAAGAAGCAACACCGCGAACGTCCACGAACTAGCAAGTGTATACACCAAGCACGGCAATCGTGCGGGGAATCCTGCTCAGCATGGAGGAACGAAGCACCAGCACCTGCTACAACACAGATGAAGCTGGGAAACATTACGCTCCTGGAAGAAGCCAGACACAAAACCACATATTACACGATTCCAGGTACATGCGACCTTCGCCCTGCTGCATCAACTTCGATGCATGAAGGACAGGAGCAAAGATCGGCAAAGTACTCCAGGTGTTGGGCGGGTCCTGCAGTGCGACCTTGGGGACACCACAGGGTCTCACCCACTCCCTCCAGACTGGTCTCCTGCTCCCCTTCCTGCCCGGCCCGCCATCCCCCGCCGCCAAGCTATTCTGTGCTGTGACAGCTGGCCAAACCCTGAGCCACCGGAAACCTTCCTGAGGCTAGGTCGTGGGCATCAGGTATCGCTGCAGCGATGGGGAAGCTGACGAACAGACAGGAACTGTCCAGAAAAGGACACCCACCAGGACCAGACGGGACCCAGACTGCTGGCCAGGGGCTGGAGGAGGGCAAGGGGAGGCTGCCAGTGTCCTGGTGGCTTAGAAAGGTGCTCTGGAGCCACACAGTGATGTCAGCTCAACAACAACCTTTGCATAAAAATGGTGAATTTAATGTCAAGAGAATTGTATCTCATTTTTTAAAAAAGATAACTGATGATGGTTCAAGCTCCAAATAATCTTTGAGAAACTACCGCTGTCAAGTTTGGTGGCAGGATCAACAAGAGATGTGCATGTGGCCCCCCTGCCTGCGTGGAGCCAGCTCCTCAGAAACCTCCCTCGAGCAGCAGCAGCGCAAGTGGGAGATCCAGGAGCCCCTGGCCAGCCACATGGGAAAGAAGCCTGCAAAACTGCATCACTACCTTCCAATGCTGTGTCGGGAAATATGGTTATTTTCATTAAAACAACATTATTTATATGAAAAGAAGAGCATTCACTGCTCTCTTTAAATAGTCTTATTTTTAGTTTCTAACATGGTAAATACTGATAAACTACAATTTTCTTAAAAAGTTCTTTGATGTTACAGTAACTCTTAAAAGTATAAATGGACCCTGAAACAAAAAAAATTGAGTATTTTGATCTATAAAAAAAAGGACACTATGCAGGTAAATCCTAGAGACTTCTATTCTTGATTTTTAACTACCATAAAAGCAAAAACAAACAAACGAAGGCAACAGGCCAGCAAGGCGCAGGGGAAGCACGTGGACGCCCACAGCGGCCTGAGATGCAGCCCTGCGAACGACAGGGATGAAATGGGGCTCTAAGGACACTCAGCCCCAAATGAGAGCTGAGGAAAACAAGAGGTGAGATGAGCAGAAATCCAACAAGGGGGCGGTCCAGCCGTGGACGACCGCACTAAATACGGCAGTCGCCACATGCTGACCACAACGCTGGCACAAGTAACTCATTTTAAATGGAAAGACACGGGCCGGGGATGGAGCTCAGTGCTGCCGCCTGCCCCGCAAGCACAAGGTTGCGAGTTCAATCCCTGGGACCAAAAAGTAAATAAATAAATGAATGAATAAACGGAAAGACAAGAAGTCAAGCCAAGGAGAAGAAGGGAAGGGTTTTCAGTAGAGACTTGGGGAGACCACATCCCTGGGACAGGACTGCCACGGCCGCTGGTGACCCGGGACAGCTCGTAAACTCCCCAAACTACCGCGGCCCCAGAAGGCAGTGCACCTAATCAGATTCTCAAGATGTGCAAAGCAAAGCCCCCACAGGACAGAGTCGTGAGGTGACCGAGGCCACGCTGGAGACCCCACAGCTTCCTTCCCTCGAGGAACTGACAGGACCGGGACTTGGGGTGGCCGCAGCTACCAGCGCTGGCACTCAGAATCCCTGGGCCATCTCGCTCACAGTGCACCTGCTCCAACTGCAGCATCAACCCAAAATGGAAACACCAGGAGACCTGGAGCCCTCTTCCAAATATCCTTAAGTACACAAGTACCACCGGGCACACTGGCGTACGTCACAGTCTCGGCTATCTGGGAGGCTGAGACGGGAGTTTGCGAGCCCAGCTTGGGCAACAACGTGAGACCTTGCCTCAAAAAACAAAATTCATCAAAAGCGTTCCACATAATCCACTGATAAAACAAGCATCTACTGGTGAAACTGAAAATATTTTAAAGTGAATGATGAAATGTGCAACATATCCAAATGCATGGGGGCTGGGAATGTAGCTCCATGACAGAGTGCTCCCCACACATGTGCAAGGCCCTAGGTTCAGCCCCTGGCATGGGGATGGGCACAGGGATGAGACAGAGCAAAGCAGGAGATATCAACCACTGTCAGTGTTTACATGAGAAATGAAGAGGATTCCAAGTGAACTGGTCTTCTACGCTAACACCAAAAAAGGGGAGCTGCCCAGCGAGGCCCTCAGGACCTCAGAAGGGAACCGCTCCCACAGACGGCTCCGCCCTGAGGGGAGAGCATCCTCCACACCCCGTCCCGTCCCGTCCCATCCCGGGCCAGTGTCACCCTGCTGCCTCAAGGAGGAAAAGGGACTCGAAGAAAAAACTGCAGGGCCCAGGGATTTAGCTCAGGGGTTTCGCTGCCTGCTGCGCAAGGACCCGAGTTCGATCCCCAATACCAAAAAAAAAGAAAGAAAAAACTGCAGACGTGACAGCACACCCAGCAACTGAATTGCGCTATAGGAGTAATAAGCACAACGCACTGGTATCTGGCCTGGGCTTGAGAGGCTGGGCCAACATTCAAAAATCAAGCCACAAAATTCAGTTATCAACAGACTGAAAAAGAAGACATATGTTTATCTCAGATATAGAAGAAGCACTTGGCAGAATTCAGTATGTGCTCATGAAAACCACTGCAAGCACACTAGGAATAGAACGGAGCTCCCCACGGAGGGCCGCTGGGAACAGGGCAGCAGATGCCGCCACTGGAGGAGCAAGGGCCCCAGGGGGCCCGAAGTGGCGCGAAGGGCCAGATAGTTTTGATTAGAACAACTAGCACACACAGAGAGGAGAAACTGCAGGCTCCTCCCGGACGGTGCAGCCCTGCAGCTAGGGGACTTTAGGACGTTCCGGGCGCCACTAGGACTGACGAGTAAGTGCAGCAAGTTATAACGTGTGAAGTCGATACATGCATTACTAAGTGCATTTCTTTAGACTGGCAGCAAACAACTAAAAATAAAATGAGGACACCACCACTCACAACACGACCAAAGCACTGAGAACCTAGGCATAAATTTCGGGAACTGTACGTCGGGCGGTAACACAGCAGCTCTCCCCAGTTCTTCAAGATTCGACGTGTCCCCAACCAAAATGCCAGCAGGCCACCTTGGCAGAGAGGGGCATGCTGATTCTGAACCCCACATGGACATCACCACACAGGTGGGCTTACGCACGCCTGTGACCCTAGCACTCAGGAGGCTGAGTGAGGCAGGACGATCACGCTGAGCTGGAGGCCAGCCTGGGCTACATAGTGAGACCCTGTCTCAAAAAGCAAAATTAAAATTGACGTGGACTTGTGGATGACACACAGAAGCTAACAACAGCTTTCCAGTAAAAAGGGTGTAGCGCAGAGACGCAGACCGTCCACAGCCCCAACGCAGCTCTCCATTCCCGATACCCACACAGCCTGGTAACACGAGGAAGGCCTAGCGGAATACTGAGCAAAATACCTGAACAGCGCGCGACCAAAGCACAGAAACAGGCCGGGGAGTTAGCTCAGTGGTTCCACCGCCTGCCTTGTAAGCACAAGGTCCCAAGTTCAATCCCTAGTACCAAAACAAAAGCACAGACACAAACATCACACACAGGAGGATTGCTGCACATTCGAGGCCAGCCTGGGCTACAAAGCAAGGCCCTGTCTCAAAGCAAAACAAAAGTAGAACCTGGCAACAGCCATGCGCCAACCACCAGGGAATGGCAAGCGGCGAGCAGTACTCTCCTACCAAGGCCACTGACCAAGTACACACAGAACGCTAGCGGCAGGTGTGATACTGCAGGGGAACTGGAAGCCACTCTGCTCAGTGACAGAAGCCAGGCATGAGAAGCGCACAGAGCACACGCCAGAGAGCAATAATCCCCACGAGCAAAGCAGCTGGGCAGCGGCACAGGAGCCAGCTCCCGGGAGCACAGAGCAGTGCTCCAGGGCACTGACGACGACGCCTGGACCATGCAGGGTGTGAGCAGGATGAGCCCTATCATTGTGACATCCAGGCGCACCCATAAAATCAAACAGGCTCCAGGGAGGCTCCTGGTGGGCAGGCAGCGGACCTGGACAGCCACCAGAGGGTGGCCCAGACCACACCGGACAGGAGGTCGGGGACGGTGGGCTCAATGGGCAGCGCCCACCCAGCACTGGGGAGACCTCGCATCCAGGGCAAATCATCAGGGTGGGGAGGGAGAGGCGAGAGTCACCGAGGTCACAGCACACACAAGGCCCGTGCCCAGAAGCACCACACATTCATCTAATCATGGAGGCACCAGGTAAAGTGGTGGGCACCCGTGGTCCCAGCCACACAGGACGCTGAGACAAGAAGGTCCCTTAAGCCCAGGAGGGAGGCCAGCCTGGGCTACACAGAAAGATCGTAGTTCAAATGTAAAAGTTAAAAAATACATAAGGAAGCAGCAGCTAGAATCAGCACATGAGGAAAGGCAGGATATTCTCGGCAGCTCCAGCGGCTTCTGGTGGCTGAGCAGCAAGGGGAGCCACACAGGAAGCCTGCCCCTCATGCTCCGTCCTGAGCAGCTTTGCAGGTGAGGAGGCTCACGACCCAAGGGCCCACGAATGACTGCATGGCATTCCTGCCACGCGGCGTGTAGCCACACTGTGAAAGGGGAAAGTGGTATCCAGGAAGATACCATGTGTCCAAGGGCTGAAACACCTAAAACAGAACGTTCCTGCTGCACACAGGGCCCAAAGAAAAATAAAAATTCGCTGTTTGGGACGAGGGCTTAGCTCAGTGGTTCTGCTGCCTTCCTCAAAAACGCAAGGTCCCAAGTTCGATCTCCAGTACCGAGAAAAAAAAACACCCACCGTTGGTTGCAGTCACACATGCACTGCATTCTAACGCCTCCTGCCCTGCTCTCGACGCTCAGAGTCAGGCCTGCGTTGTTTCACCAGTGTGGGTGTCGTGCTGACCCCAGGTAACGGGACCGAGCAGTCGTCCGGGGTGGGGGACAGGAGCTGGCGTCAGGGACAGGCCGGGCACCCACCTTGTTGATCCAGAACACCATGGCGTCCTCGAGGTCATAGGGCAGCTCTTTTGAGGCGCTGAACGTGGAGAAGCGCTTGACGCTGGCCACCACCTTCTCAATGCTGATCATCTCCACAGTGTAGGCCATCATCAGGGCATCCACCATCGCCATGTGGGCACTCTGGGGGCACAGGCGGCAGCTGGCACCCTAAGCTTGCCTCTTCCACATCCCGGTGCGGGGCCCCACCCAGACTCACTCCACACCGACCTGAAACTCCCATCCCCTCAGGGTGGGCAGGGTGCAGGGCACCCGAGGTGGCCAGGGCTGGAGGGAACTGCAGCCTCACCTCAGGCAGAGCGCAGCGGAAGCGGCTCTCTGCTCATGTCCAGAAGGGTCCCTCGCTTCAACAGGAGCACGCTGCACACATGCAGATCTCCCGGCCAGGGCTGGCCCAACACTCACCATCTTTACAGGGGCGTGGCCGAGGTCGGCGTCCGTCACCGGGGTGTCGTCACTCTCCATCACGTAGATGCCTTTCCGGGACAGGGCCTGGATGACTGACTGGTGCCCTTGCAAGGTGGCCGCCTGGTCCCCTTTGAGGATGAGGCTGCAGACACGGCAGTAGAGCTCACTGGAAAGGAGCAGCTTGATAACGGGCGGCTTGATGTGCTCCTGCTCATACTGGTCGATGTAAAAAGGGTCTCTGAGGTCCTCAGGGATGTTGTCTACGACAGGAGAGAGCGGACACAGGTGTGACCCGAGGAGGGTGCACAGCAGGATGCCCTCTGAAACTCGGACAGAGGCCACAACTGGGGCTGAGCAGCCAGTCTAGCACAGCAACAGCCAGGCCTGGGGCCGCTGTAACTGCAACAGTGACAGAACATGGCAACCGCCTTTCCTCCTCCTCAGACCCAACAGTGCTCAACCCTTTACACGAGCCCACGTCCTCATCGCTACCTCACTGAATCAGGGTGAGTGCCCCGCACCGCGGGCAAGGAAACAGGAATCATGCCCAGGGCTTGGGGCCAACCAACTCTGCATCCACACAACCTGCCGCCTGACACACGTGCCAGGGAGCTACCCACAGGCATGCAGGGCAGATGCACTACCACTGCTCCACCTTCTCGCACCTCCCACTGTGTCCCCTGAAGGCATCTGCAAGACAAAGTCCCAAAGGAAGCTCCTTCACCAGGGCCAACAGCGCACACTCTGCCTAGACTGCAGGGCGGCGCAGGCTGCAGCACCTGGTGCCTTCTGGAGCCGTCCTCACTTCCAGAAGAGTTCAGAAGGGGCTACCATCTCCAGGAAGGCTGCTGGACAAAGCCCAGGCACACCCAGCCCCGAGGCAGCCAGGACATGGGCTACTCACACCGCGGGGCGCCCACACTGTGACACCTGCCAGACCAGGGTGGAGGCCCATGGGCAGCTGCACTTCGGGGCAACTCAGCAGCACCCTCCTTTCTCTGCTCCTCCTCCTCCTCTCAGGGGCTATTTTCTGAGCCCAGTCTAACTGTGAGTGTGGGTCTGCCCTGGCCCACACCCCTAACACTCCCTTGGCTTCCTCTCTCCGCACAGCGCGCCAGCGTTCACAGCACTGCAGTTCTGTACCACAGTGCTGCACCGCTGTTGGTCACCACAGCAACCCTGCAGGGGCCTGCCTGCAGGAGCCGGGGCTCCACCCAGGTGGATGTCCCCAGGTGCCAATCTCAGTCCTGACCACAGCTGGCAGCCACCTACCCTGAAACCACCAGTTCTGAAAGCGATCACAGCAGTAGCAGAGGGAATCACCCCAGTGTAGGGCGCCACCTTGGGGCTCCGACTCCCGCAGGGCATCAGAGCAGGGACAACAGGGAAGGAGCCACCCCACATGTGGGAGCAAGATGTCACAGGAAAAGGCGCAGCAGCCAGGGACAAACGGGCACCGCACAGACTGAACAAGGGGAAGGCACAGGCCGGGGCCCTGTAATCCAGCCGTGGTCTGAGGAGCTCTCACCGGCCACCAGGAAAAGGGTGCCCCTGCAGCAGCAGCCCAGTGACCAGGGCGCCTGGCCAGAGCCACTGTCACCTTCCTCTGCTCTCCTTCCGCATGCTGCTGCCTGGGTCTCACTTTTCCACAGACTGTGAGAGATGTGTCCTACCTCCCACCCAGGTGGCCCCATTCTGCCTGTGGCTTGAAAGACCAGACAGATACACAGCAACCACCAAATGCATATTCTGGCCCCAGCCCTTCCCTAAAGCACCTGAGCCCCTGAGCCCCACTGGCTGGCCCAGGCCACCCTCCCCTCTGGCCTGGACAACTGGGAAGGCTCCGCCCTAGGTGAGCAGAAAGCAGCAAAGCTCGGGAAGACCTGGCAGGGTGCGGCCTCCGGGTGCAGGGCAGGGGCTCAGGGCAGGACAGACACAGGCTCTGCAAAGCTGGCCTGCAGTGGGTGCCAGGAGGGCCCAGAGCAGCTGCTGAAGCCTGCGGCCACAGCGTGAAGACACCCGACGTGAACCCAGGAGCTGCAGACTAGGGAACTCGGCCAGGCAATGACCACCTCAAATGATCGGACCAGAAGAAATGTTTCCCTGGGTCACTTCACCTCTGCATCCTGTGCACACATGAACCACGGAAGCCATTCCTACGCGCTTCAGAGTCACCACAGGGAGCTCACAGGCCTGGGGGACGCACTGGCAAAAGCTGCGAGCCCAGAGTCCCCAGCCCAGTCACAGAAGCGCCGCACTCAGTGCCAGGCTGGCCACACCTCCACTGACCACTCGGCCATCAGAAGCCACAGGAGCACAGTCAACAGCTATCAGTCAGCAGCTATTTTTAAAGCAGCTTTGTAAATGTCTCAGGCCTATTTCTGGTGACTTATTTTTCATTTCTTCTACAAACCAATGAGACTGTTAGAATTACTCACCCAACAATCACTGAGCACCTGTGTAAGCCATGAAAAGCAGGGGAATGCGGGGGCCCAGGGGTAAGGCTCTGGTGAGGACAGAGAAGCCAGCAGGCACCTTCCACCTGGCAGGGGCACCACCCAAGACACAGGAGAGGAGGTGGCCCAGCAAAGTAAAAATGACCCTGCACAGAATTTTAGGAAACAACACCGTGCATAGCTGCATGGGAGACAAATTCAGTGTCTCACCAATTCGTTGCACAAGTTCTCAGCTGAGCGCCTGCTACCTGCCCACCCTCACCACGGGGCCATCAGAGGTGGGCAGGCTCAGGTGCTCTGGGTGCACACCAGGGAGGACGGCCTAGGCCAGGCTGGTCAGGGCTCGGGAGCTGGGGGACGAGGACATTCCATCTGCTGGTGTCCCCGATCACAGAGTGGAGGACAGGTCTGGACACCAGAAGGTCGTTCCGGTCTGATGACAGCAAGTGGCCTGGGAGGAGGTGGAAGTGTCCATCTCTCAGCCAGAGACGTGTGAGCAAAGCACAAAGATGCCTAGCTTCTGATCCTGACCCGATACTACGACAGGAGCCAGGGAGCTGATGGGGAAGGTGGAGCTGTGGCCTCCACAGGAGCTCAGAGCACCCCCATATGCCTGCAGGGCTCTGACAGGGAAGCATGCACAGGGATCACAGGCACAGGACAAAGGGATGGCATTTGGCATCTAGCGTCCACACATATAAACTCAGGCCCAGGGGCTGAGTCTCCCAGGCAGAGGGCACAGTGAGAACCAAGCCTGGTCGAGGCAGGCTTCGGAGCACTTGGTGGCAGGCAGGTGTAGGAGAGAAGCCAAAGGAAGAAACCAAGGGTGGCCAGAGGGGGCTGGGCACAGCTCAGAGGATGAAGACATCTCCAAGAGACAGAGACCGCCCACCCACGCCAAAGACCAAGTACAAATGGCAGCAGAGCGCCCCTGAGCTGAGCACAGGGAAGGGCCCAGGACCAGGTGCGGCAGTTGCAGAAGGAATGAAGCAAGGAAGGCGAGACGCGGGCCCTGCTCTGGGGAAGTGGGGGCCAGAAGGCTGGCTTAAGGGCTGGAGAACCGAGGCTGGGTTTCACTGCTGCTGCTGAACACCAGCCAGTGGAAGGGTGGAGGCGGCCCGGGGCAGGTCCAGAGTCAGGGAAGCAGGGGCTGGGAGTACAGGAGCCCCAGTGACACCTGGGGAAGCAGGCGCTGAAGTGGAGTGCCAGGGATGGAGCAAGGGGTGAGTGATGATGCGACAGGGACCGCAGGCAGGCAGGGGCGACAGCAGGCCTCTTGGGGAGCAGGTGCTCTCGCTCTGTTGGCTGGGCTGAGCAGGGGCAGAACTCTGCCAGGTGGGGAAAGGCCTCTGAAGGGAGCATGGACCGGAGTTAATGCGGGGCCACAGGCTGCTCTTCTGCTTGGCCTCTGCTGTGGGGCTGCATGAGGACCAGGCCATCCGCCCAGGGTGGCACCTGGGGCAGATGCAGGGCACAGGGAGCCCACGGTGGGCCTCAGCATCACCCTTATCACTGGCATCACTGTTCCCAGATTCAAGGAAGCAGCGCAGCCATCGCCCTCCGCCACACTGACCCTGAGCAGGGCTGTGGCGGACACGCCCACACCAGCCCCAGCCCCTCCACAGCAGAGGCTGCAGGCCGTGGGCAGGGCCAGCTGTGGCCACCACCTCACCCAAAGCCGCACACTTCAGCCAGCTCCATTCAACCCCACGGCAAGGGTCAGCCAGCCGCACGCAGGACCCCATAGCTCCCCAGTGCCGGGCCTCCCAGACCCCAGCACACCCGCTCACTGCAGGGTCCTGCGGCAGGCTGGGCACCATGGGCCTGGAGCGCAGGGGTGCAGGACCCCTGGGTAGCCTCCAAGGGGGAGGCAGCCGGAGATCTTCCGGCTCCAGACCACCACCACTGCACCTCAGCTCTGCCCCGGAGGTGTCAGCCACGAGGGAAACGTGAGCTGCCCATGAGCCAGGCACAGCACTCAAGAGGCTGGGACTGCTCAGCCCAGGAGTTCCAGGCCATCTGGACTGCACAGTAAGACCCACCTCAGAAAAGAAAAGGGCTGGGGTGCAGCCCGGTGGCGGCACACTTGCCTTGCGTGCACAATAACAAAAAGCAAAAGCAAAAAGCCGACCCGGCCACTGCAGGGCCACATCCATTCCACCCATGGTAGAAGGAGAGGCAAACTCGAGGAGAGGTGGCCTCCACACTGCCCCTGCTGCACAGGCTCAGGCCTGAAGGTGCACAGGCTCTGCTTCCTTCCAGGGCCAGGAAGGCAGCCCCTCGGAGGATGAAGGGATCTTTGCCCACGTGTGAAAGGGGGCCCACTGCAGCCACCTTGCCAACAACTGTGAGAACCACACACAGCCCCGATCTCACACGGTGACCCACCAGAAGGGCCACGTGCTGTGCACAGTAAGCTGCAGCCCTTGGGGCCAGGGCCGGCTGCTAAACAGACAGAGCACCAGCATCACCCGGATTCCTGACAGTCCCAACATGTACTGTCCAAGGGTCTGATATCCCTCCCGAATCCCTCAACACACGAGAAAAAACAAAAACAAGGAAACTGTAACTCTCAAGAGAAAAGCAATCAACAGATGTGACCCAAATGCTGGAACTGTCCAACAAAGACGATAAGGGATTATTACAACGTTGCTCCAGAAGTGAGGGCAAGCATCTCAGGGAAAAAAACCCTAACACAAAACCCTAAGCAAACAGGAAAGAAGCCCAGTGTGCAGGGAAACCAAAAACCACAGCAGAAGGCACCCAGGTGCCTGTGAACAGAGAGATGGGCAGGAACCCGCACC